TCAGACACCTCTGACTGCAGACGAGGAGCTGCCCAGATGAGAGTGGACACTGCTTCCTGTAAGCCTGGATCTAGTTCTCTAATAATGGATAAACAGCAACCGTGTTAACGAGGACGGACACTGAAGGTAAGGAATTTACAATGCTCAGTACTCACTTCATGGACTGAATGAGGCCAAAGCGAGTCAACAGCAGGTCACAGTAAAGCTCTAAGATCTCCATGGCTTCAACCAGATAGTCCTCTCTGATGATGTGCTCCACACGGATCCGTGCCCGCTCATCCTTACCTGATGACAGGTAATCTGCAATCTCTTTCCTGGCCTTCTGAGCAAGCTCAGCTTTATATTAAATTTGGCAATATGGGAAAAGGAAAAAAAAACATTAGAACTACTTTACAAATAAAGAGCCACTTCAGCTATTGGAGAGCAGCACAGTGACTCACTTTTCTTTTTCTCAAGGAGTTTGAGTCGGTTGATGACCAGTCGGAGATTGACTCTCAGCCTCTCTGATTTGAAACCTCCTCCCAGCATGATGACGGACAGCCTTTGGACAGGAGAGAGGAGAGGGGAAATAAGTGAAGACGACCTATGGAGCCCATCTAACTTACCATCTCTGATCCAGTGAGTCACTCAATCATGTGAGCATGACCAACCCATCGTAACACAATGACTCCGCACATTCACGCGAAACACAACACAAACACACACACGTAAACAAGGTCAGGAATAAACATAAGTTAGTTACCAACACAAAGTATTAAACTACCAACGACTCAAAACATTAGCTTTAGCTTGACGCCGAGAACAGGTAACAAGAAGGCCAACCATGCTACTTTAAACGATACCGTCTTATCGTGTCCAGTACCGTTTTATCCATTAACATTACAATCATTCATTTTTAAAAACCCGAGCCGGTGCTTGTGTGAACAAATCTGCTAGCTACAGCCTTTGCTTTGTTAGCAGTCTTCTGTTATCGTTTGTGCTAGCTACCGACCTAGCTCCGTCGTTTAACGTCAACAAAACCAAGTCAAATACACTGAAAGACTTTAAGAATTCAGATAGTTTCGAAATAGTTTAACAGGTTAAAAAAAAAAGCCAGAAGCTTACCTGTAAATACGAGTCGAGCGCACACACCAACTTATTTGAGTCTTGTTTCGTCGCTCACTTCACTTCCGTGATTATCTCCAGTGACGTCATGGGGAATAACCCAGGGGCGGGGTTGCTGTCCGAATCAAAGGAGCGTCAATCACAGGTGCGACCCAGTTGTCAGCCGATGACGTTACTTTTTCCTTTTTTTTTTTCTTTTTTAAATATGGCCCTAATACTTCTTCTTATAGATAAATAAAACAGTTTGTATGCTATTTTAGAAATACCGCAGCTGTCCACAGTACAGGGTAAACCAATCAGTTTAAATGCTACCTAACACAGAAAACTCCAAAAGTTAATAGTTAACAGAGGTTAAGTTAGGTGGAGGCTAATTACAATGTTTGTTTGTTTTTTTCCTTTGCTTGAAATAATTTAATTGTGGGATAACCCAGTTGATAAAATTAGGGGGGACAAAGGTGGGTTTGGGGACTAGGGGGTATGAATATATTATCAAGATGAAGCAGTCTGTTTCAAATCTGTGGTTTATCACAGCATAAATTAAATGAAATAAACCTCAAAATTAAGTATCCAAGTAAACATTGTACCATAGATTTAAATGAAATAAATAACTGGGAAGCCGAAACAACTACAAACATGTTAAAAATACACAGACTAATCTACAGACATGATTGGTTAATAATTAAAATGATCAATATACAGGGAGTGCAGAATTATTAGGCAAATGAGTATTTTGTGCTGGAAAGGAGAGTTCGTCCGTTAGTCGAACCTCGGATACAGGAGGAACAATGCGGTTTTCGTCCTGGTCGCGGAACACTGGACCAGCTCTTTATCCTCTCCAGGATACTTGAGGGTGCATGAGAGTTTGCCCAACCAGTCTACATGTGTTTTGTGGACTTGGAGAAGGCATTCGACCGTGTCCCTCGGGGTGTCCTATGGGAGGTGTTGCGGGAATATGGGGTGTCTGGCCCATTCGATCCCTATACAACCGTTGCAAGAGCTTGGTTCGCATTGCCGGCAATAAGTCGGACTCGTTCCCGGTGGGTGATGGGCTCCGCCAGGGCTGCCCTTTGTCTCCGGTTCTGTTCATAATTTTTATGGACAGGATTTCTAGGCGCAGCCAAGTGGCGGAGGGCTTTCGCTTTGGTGGCCTCAGAATCTCATCTCTGATTTTTGCAGATGATGTGGTTCTGTTGGCTTCATCGGGTGAGGGCCTCCAGCTCGCACTGGAACGGTTCGCAGCCGAGTGTGAAGCAGCGGGAATGAGGATCAGCACCTCCAAATCTGAGGCCATGGTTCTCAGCCGGAAAAGGGTGGAGTGCCCACTCCGGGTCGGGGATGAGTTCCTGCCCCAAGTGGAGGAGTTCAAGTATCTCGGGGTCTTGTTCGCGAGTGATGGGGAGCCGGAGATGACAGACGATTGGGGCTGCAGCTGCAGTAATGCGGACGCTGCACCGGTCCGTCGTGGTGAAGAGGGAGCTGAGTGTAAAAGCGAAGCTCTCAATTTACCGGTCGATCTACGTCCCTACCCTCACCTATGGCCACGAGCTGTGGGTAGTGACCGAAAGAACGAGATCGCGGATACAAGCGGCAGAAATGAGCTTCCTCCGAAGGGTGGCTGGCCTCTCCCTTAGAGATAGGGTGAGAAGTTCGGCCATCCGGGAGGGGCTCAGAGTAGAGCAGCTGCTGCTCCACATCGAAAGGAGCCAGCTGAGGTGGTTCGGGCATCTGACAAGGATACCCCCTGGGCGCCTCCTGGGTGAGGTGTTCCAGGCATGTCCCACCGGGAGGAGGCCCCGGGGCAGACCCAGGACACGCTGGAGAGATTATATCTCTCGGCTGGCCTGGGAACGCCTTGGTGTTCCCCCGGATAAGCTGGAGGAGGTGGCTGGGGAGAGGGAGGTCTGGGCCTCTTTGCTTAGGCTGCTGCCCCCGCGACCCGGCCCCGGACAAAGCGGATGAGGATGGATGAGTATTTTGTCCACATCATCCTCTTCATGCATGTTGTCTTACCCCAAGCTGTATAGACTCGAAAGCCTACTACCAATTAAGCATATTAGGTGATGTGCATCTCTGTAATGAGAAGGGGTGTGGTCTAATGACATCAACACCCTATATCAGGTGTGCATAATTATTAGGCAACGTCCTTTCCTTTGGCAAAATGGGTCAAAAGAAGGACTTGACAGGCTCAGAAAAGTCAAAAATAGTGAGATATCTTGCAGAGGGATGCAGCAGTCTCAAAATTGCAAAGCTTCTGAAGCGTGATCATCGAACAATCAAGCGTTTCATTCAAAATAGTCAACAGGGTCGCAAGAAGCGTGTGGAAAAACCAAGGCGCCAAATAACTGCCCATGAACCGAGAAAAGTCAAGCCTGCAGCTGCCAAGATGCCACTTGCCACCAGTTTGGCCATATTTCAGAGCTGCAACATCACTGGAGTGCCCAAAAGCACAAGGTGTGCAATACTCAGAGACATGGCCAAGGTAAGAAAGGCTGAAAGACGACCACCACTGAACAAGACACACAAGCTGAAACCAAGACTGGGCCAAGAAATATCTCAAGACTGATTTTTATAAGGTTTATGGACTGATGAAATGAGAGTGAGTCTTGATGGGCCAGATGGATGGGCCCGTGGCTGGATTGGTAAAGGGCAGAGAGCTCCAGTCCGACTCAGACGCCAGCAAGGTGGAGGTGGAGTACTGGTTTGGGCTGGTATCATCAAAGATGAGCTTGTGGGGCCTTTTCGGGTTGAGGATGGAGTCAAGCTCAACTCCCAGTCCTACTGCCAGTTTCTGGAAGACACCTTCTTCAAGCAGTGGTACAGGAAGAAGTCTGCATCCTTCAAGAAAAACATGATTTTCATGCAGGATTTTCAGCTCCATCACACGTGTCCAAGTACTCCACAGCGTGGCTGGCAAGAAAGGGTATAAAAGAAGAAAAACTAATGACATGGCCACCTTGTTCACCTGATCTGAACCCCATTGAGAACCTGTGGTCCATCATCAAATGTGAGATTTACAAGGAGGGAAAACAGTACACCTCTCTGAACAGTGTCTGGGAGGCTGTGGTTGCTGCTGCACGCAATGTTGATGGTGAACAGATCAAAACACTGACAGAATCCATGGATGGCAGGCTTTTGAGTGTCCTTGCAAAGAAAGGTGGCTATATTGGTCGCTGATTTGTTTTGTTTTTGAATGTCAGAAATGTATATTTGTGAATGTGGAGATGTTATATTGGTGTCACTGGTAAAAATAAATAATTGAAATGGGTATATATTTGTTTTTTGTTAAGTTGCCTAATAATTATGCACAGTAATAGTCACCTGCACACACAGATATCCCCCTAAAACAGCTAAAACTAAAAACTACTTCCAAAAACATTCAGCTTTGATATTAATGAGTTTTTTTTGGGTTCATTGAGAACATGGTTGTTGTTCAATAATAAAATTATTCCTCAAAAATACAACTTGCCTAATAATTCTGCACTCCCTGTACTTGAATTCCACTTTTGAAATAAAATAAAATGAGCTGCTTTTCACTGTGAAATTGATCGTTTCCAGTCTGGGAAATTACATGTCTTTGATCTATAAATACAGTCTTTACAAAAAGATATCAATTAATATGCATTAGTGAGAGAAGTACCTACTTTATTCAAGGTTTAGAGGCTATTTTATATTATTTGCATAGTTCCCACACTACAGAGTGACTACAATACCCAGTTGTTGTCTGCCCAGAATGATTCAGAGGATCACTAGCTTACATTTTATAAGAGTGTAAAGAGATAAGACTCCCTTAGAAAATGGCTTAATATTCAGAGGACCGTCTAAAGCCATGTGGTGGAGTCTCTATTCATACAGAGGGATATGGGAAATGAGCAAAAACCAAACAGAGCACCAGCACATCTGTAATCCTGATTATTTTTAATCAAAATGTTACAAGAATTTCAGACATAACATTTATTTTGCATTTTCATAAAAATATATACAATAAATCATTGCTAATCCCTAACAAACCATCACAGCTATTATAACTTGAGTTTGCTAACAGAAACCTCTTTGTTTTTCTTCTTCTTCTTTGAAGGCTGGTCCTTTGCGCTTTTGATCTGACTTTTGACCTGGTCCTGCAGCTGAGAGAAGAACGCTTGAGAGGACCGCAGAGCCTTGTCCTTCCCCTCGTCCTGAAACAGGAACACTTGGTTAGTAAAGTCACCTCAGGAACATCTGCAGCATAAAGTAGGAATTTGTGTAATGTTTACAACAAAAGCCTTCCTTAAAGGTGTGGTGTGTCTGAGAAGTGGAAAAGGCTGACTAATTGTTTGCTAAAAATAGATTACCCAGTCTGTGATGGCACTACATAGTTAAAACATGAGTTAATCCATAGAGCACAACCTGCTGAAGTTCAAACTGTGCATCAGAATGAGGAACACCGGTGACTTTGAACGTGACACAGTCGTTGACTCTGAGAATATTCTGAAGCTGCTGATCTACTGGGATTTTCCCCAAACAATGTCTAGTATTACAGAGAATGGTCCGAATAAGATCAAAATATCCAGTCAGCAGTAGTTCCATGTGTGAAAATGGCATGTTGATGTAAGAGGATAACGAACTGGTAGGAAGGCAACAGTAACTCACAGAACTGCTCGCTACCACTAAAGCCCCGTTTCCACTGGTAGCTACTCAGATCGACTCGCAACAGTTCGCCACAGTTTAAGTGTGACGTCGTCAGACTACATGCCACCGATTGGCCTGTCAGGGGGTCACTCCATGAGTCATTAGATTATCTCATTCATGAAAATCAAAACTGCCATTTTTTAAACCCAGCTAGGAGGGAAATGGCTACAAATAATGCCGGTGCCTCCCGAGTCTGACGGAAAGCCATAGACCTTGTAGCAGGTATATTCTTGCCTCGACATCCACCTTTGTTGTAGGGTTCACGTCTCAAACTAATCACGGGATGCTTGGCCATGTTGCTATGACAATGACCACACACATTAGGTGGTACTCTATTGTATTGGAAAACCAGTCGATCCCAATCAAGTCGTGGCGAACAGTGGCAAGTCGATCCATGTAGATACTAATGGAAAAAGGGGCTTAAGGTATGCAGAAGAGCATCTCTGAACGCACAACTCGTTGAACTTTGAAGCAGCAGAAGATCACACTGGGTGCTGCTCCGGTACGGACATGAAACTGAGGCTGCAGTTTTCAGAGGCTCAAGAAAATTGAACCACAGAACATTGTAAAAATGTTGTCTCGTCTGATGAGTCTTGATTTCTGCTGCATCACACAGATGGTTGCGTGGCTGGTTATAAACAACATGAAACAGGGCTGTAGAGTGTGACCAATTTGGTCGCAAATGTGACCTAATTTCTCAATGGTGTGACTAAAAAAAACATCCTAGGTCGCACCGGTGCGACCAGGCGTTCGAGTTACTAAAAAAAAAAAAAGTCTCCACAACTCTGAAAGTCTCTGTGTGGCCAACAGCAGACAACATTGAGCCCAAATCATGGTCTAAACCAATCTGAGGTAGTCAAGGGTAGAACCTCTCAGATGATGTCAGCGAAGCACCTTAAGCACAATAACTTTTTCAGTACCGTATTTTTCTGACTAGAAGGCACACTTAAAATCCTTTAATTTCCTTTGTTTAAAAAAAAAAAAAAGCATCACATTGGTGTTTAGTGATATTTAGACTTAGTTGTATCATATGAATAATGATTACTTTCTCCTGTGTGCATCTTTAAAGCACTTCCAAACATTTATAACGTTGATCTGACAGAACTCTGAGCAGGTTGATGACGACTTCCTACCGAGAGCAGCAGAGTGAAGCGAGATCAGGCACTCACCTTGAGTATCGTCGCTTTGCCTCCTTTTGTGACTTTCTTGAGGGTTTCTGTCACTTGAGCCTTCGATGGCTTTTTGTTCTCCTCTGTTTTATTGGCCTCTTTAAGTTTCTGTTTCTTTTCCTTCTCTTTGATCTTCAATCGCTTAACCTTCTTTTTGTTGCGCCTCTCACGTTTCTTGTCTGTTGATGTCTTCTCTGTCGCTCCCAGCAAATCTCCCGCTTTGTTCTTCTCCTTTGGTTGGAGGAGAGGATTGTTAGACAAAATCCTCATATGAAAATAATGGACTTCTGTACATGGATTGAAGACTAACCTTGATTTCTTCTGGTGCGAGTAGCGTAGCATCACTAGTGCTGACAGGAGCCACCTCCTCCATTGTAATGGATGGCAAATTAGACACCACTTTGACCTCAGGAACGGGCTATGGACAAAAGCAAACATGAATACAAAATGAATCAGAAACCTTTTACCTTTCACAGTACAGCACTGTGTAAATATACATTCAGTTTATCCAACGATAATTACAGCTTAAATTAAAGACTACAATCACGTTGGGACAGGTTTTTAAAGAACCATGCACCTGAGAAACTGCAGAGTATCTAGTTTTAGTCACTGCTAGCAGGAAAAACTCACCGGCTTAGGTGTGAAGTGGAAGTTGGAAAGAGCATCTAACTTTAGGAAGAGTGTGTCCATAAGCTTCTGAATTTCTACATGGGCTGGGTTCTCCTCCTCCTCCGTTTTTTGCTGAAATTACAAAAGATGATAATAATAATACAATGAATATTTGAGGAAATGCTTCATATGTGTCAAAGTTCTAATGAAAACAAGAAAAAACGTCAAACCTGATTCTGCTTGAGATATTCTTGCTCATAGATTTCTGCTAAACTCTGCTTGCTCTTCTCATGGTCCAACGTGAGCCTCTTCTTGTACTCAAACACCTCCTCCTTAGGCTTCTCTTTGCGAACCACGTCATCGAAAGCCTTCCAGAAACACAAGTATAAGTAACTAGGTTATTCATTATAATAATATAAAAAATGAATAATAATAATAAAAAAATACTGGTTACTGTTACTAACTTGGTCTTTAATTCTCTGTTTGATGATGTCTTCCAGCTGTAGTGTAGTTTCTTCTGTGATTGCAGGGGCTGAAAAAACAAATGAGAAATTTTACTCTATGATTTGACATAATAAGGCTGCTATTAATTATTCAAACTAAAGCATGCACAAACAGAGTGGGAGTTTGGGAGGTGCTGGGTGGTCACTAACCCGTCCTGGACGTCTGCTCAAACGCCACGTCTTCCTCCAGCATGCTGTTTTCAGGACGGGTCTGTGCAGTTACTTCTCCGGACAGCTGCCAGGGTTTCTCTGCTAAAGCTGCTTTCTCTAGCTCTTCAATCTTCTGGGACATCTGCAGGTTACAGCAAATGCAGGATTGCACAGTCACCAACAGTGAACTAAAAATCAGCCCTGTTGGGTCAATGTTGGGTACCCATGATCTGTGCTCCTTCAGGTACAGGTGAGACATTCAATCGAAGGAGGCAGGTAAGGAGTTAAACTAATCTCCACTCTGAAGCAACTACCAACAAGAGTGAAGGACGCCGTTCACTAATGTGATACGTTGGGAAATTTACACTATAGGATCACCTATAGTGCAAGAATCTGAAATTTATGATTTCAAAACAAATAAACAAACAAACAAAAAGTGGTATTAGCACTCCGGCAGATTTAAAGAGTGTACTCACACAAAGCAATCAGTATCATGCCTGAACCCCCAAATTCTAGTTCATTCGTCAAGTGTGATCGCTGCTCCCCACTGTTTAGTTCAACTCAGGCCTGATACAGATGGATGCAACTACTACATCATCATTCACTGGTTTCTGAACTCCTGATACCTCGAAATGAGAGTTTTCACCCTTGCCATCTCGGTGTTTTAAAACCAGATGAGATGAGGGGTGGATCTGACTGTGAAACCACAAGTAAATCGCCTAATAAGCTGTCAATCACAAGCCAATGAGCATAACCTGGATAATTCTCCTTTCTGACAAACACAATGACCAAAATTAATCAGCAAAGTGTTTACAGAGGTTCATTTACTTGTAGACTTGAATAGGATTTTAAGTCTTTCTGCAACCACAACTATGCCACCTGGGGGCCATTCAAAAGAATGCAAGTTTAATGGGGCCTTTTAAATACATCTATAACACATGTGAGAGGACACATGCATCCTAGAATTATGAACTGTGCTCTACAAGAGCACTTTTAAGAGTTTTACGTGCATGAAAGAGCAAGCACGATACAAGACAACCACACTTAGTGTGAGCACACCCTCAGTCCTCTTGTGATTTAACACTTTATTTTGCTTTTTATTATTCTGGAGGGCTTACAGCTGCATCCTCTTAAGTCAAACAGGGATAAATTGGAATCAAATTAAAAAACTTGCTCCAACTTGCTGTGTTGGATATGTTAATCAAACCAGAGACATCTAAAACCTCGTTTCAGTTGCATTTCATTTACCTTTTCTTGCCGTTTCTCAAACGATGATTTTGCTTCAGACTTGGCTGAGCCTTTGGCTTTTCCTCCCAAAATGTCCTCCACATCCTCTCCCTCGCTGTCTTCATCATCCGAGAGATTAAAGGTCACTTTCTTATGAGACGACCTAGACTGACCCCTCTCCTCTTCCCTGCCAAAGTGCAGACACGAACATGGTGAAATTGACTTCTCCCACACATAACTGCACGTTTTATAATTTTTGATTGCACTTACTCATCATCACCCTCCTCTTCGCCATCATAGTCGTCATCTATTACTTCTTCACCTTCCTCCTGGCTTTCATCCACGCTGTCATCCTCTCCATCTGACGGGTCGTCTGTTTTAGCGGGTTCGCTGTTCACGGCGTCAAAGAAGTCCTTGTACTTGAGATTCCTGGAGCTCTTCACCTGTCGGTATAAAGAACAATCAACATATTTGCTGTAGTTTGAACTATTGGGAGGCAAAAAAAATGAGTGGAAAATGTGTGATAAGTTACATACAGTATTTTTCTTTTGCTTTTTGGTGGAAATGATTTGCTCTAGGTCAAGATCATCATCCTCATCTGAGGGCAGATCCTGAAAATAGTCTACGTCATCTTCATCCTCCTTTCCCTCGCGCTTGTCCATATCATCCAAAAATGCCTCCATCTCTGACAGTTTAAAGAACTTATCATCAACCTCAGAGGGCACCACTTTTGCTTTGGATGCCTTCCTTCCTGTATCCTTCTTCTGTTTCTCTTTTTTCTCCAGAGCATCCACATCAAAATCCAAATCAGAGTCATCCTCTGTGTTATCGTCTTCCTCCACAGCCATTTTCTTTGTCCGTCTCGGTGGTTCCAATTCTTGTTCCTCCTCCTCTTCTTCTTCATCGTCATCATTATCTGCTGATGCTCCTTCTTCTTCTTGACCACTCTCTTCCTGCTCCTCTTCCTCCAGCACAGTTAACGTCTCATCTGCTAAAGCTTCGTCTATGGTGTTTTTAAAGTGTTTCAGTACGGCTTTGTTCTGCAGCTCTAGCTCCTGCCAAATCTGTTCTTCATCAAAATTTTCCACAACCAGCTGAGCTAGCGGGCTTCCTGTATAATGTCCAGGTTCCTGAGCTTTGTGGAGGTCATACAGAGTCTTAGTGATGGAGGTAAAGTCTGTTGCCACTTCATCTTGAAGGCTGCAAAGATGAAAAGACACAGAATTAGTCGGGTATGTCTTATGATGCGATACTGGGGGGGAAATTTGTTGTTGTTGTTTTTATTAAATAACTGAATTGGATGAAAGTCTGTGGTTTATTTGTTAATGTGTTGGTACAAAAACAAAACCACTACATTTCATCCATACATCTTCTACCGCTTATCTGGGTTCAGGTCGCAGGGGCAGCAGTCTAATCAGAGAAGACTTCCCTCACCACCTCTTGCAGCTTATCCAGATGGGTGCAATCACATCCGTGACCTCGTTCTTTCGGTCACTGCCCAGAGCTCGTGACCATAAGTGAGGGCAGGAATGTAAATCGATCGGTAATCCAAACTTCATTTTTAGGCTCAGCTCTCTCTTCACCACAACAAACCGACAGACTATCCGCATCACTGCTGATGCCGCTTCAATCCATCTGCCAGTCTCCTCCTCCCCTCATTCATGCTTAAACTCTTCCACTTGGGGCAGCAACTTGCCCCATGGGACTGTTTCATCCTTCAAATTATTGATTTAGTTGCCATGGGATGATGTGGCCTGTGGTTTTGGGCTGGCTCTAAGATCACTACTATACCACATACAGTCTAGAAGTGCACGTTTTGCCACTTTTCAGCAATTTTCTTCTCTTGTTTCAGTAGCTCAGAATGAAGTGAAAATTTGATACAGAAAATCATATTTTTATGACTGCAGCAGTAGCATTCGACATAAATTACTACAGTTGCCACTCCAAAAAGCAATGAAATGCCACAATTTGGGATTGATTAACAATTTTCCTGTATTACGCCGACTTTTGGGCTCCTCAAGAAAAAGCTGTGCTGTGTGTGTGTGTGTGTGTGTGTGTGTGTGTGTGTGTGTGTGTGAGATCCAGGCCTCCCACACCAAAACAGCATTGTGCTTATTTGTTAAACTGCTTAAGCAGCTCCAGCACCAAGAGCTCAGGCCTTTTTTGACTACTGGGCTTTGAGATGTGCCGTCTATGGCAAACCTGTGGAATCAGTCCTGTTCTGTTGGGAAAAACTTCCCTGTCTGATTGTGGAAATTCAGTAGGGCTTCTCCACCATTTTATTCATACAAGTTGTCTCCCGTTTGGTGAGGGGTCTTAACCCCCATTTGAAATACGGTAACACAGACTTGTGTGCACAAATGCATATACCTTACTAGATATTTACTTCATTCAAGACATTTGAAGTTTTACATTTTCTAACAGGTGTGGACTTTCTGAGTCTAAATCAGGATTGACAAACATGATATGCAATGAATAAACATCTGGTGTGTCACAGCAGTTGGTAGTCTAACACACGTCAGTTATTACAAGCACATCATCTTTGTTTTCTTTTCTTTATTTTTTTTTTACGTAGCTCTACAGACAGCTTACAGTAATGACCTAACTTTTATTTTATGAGCATAAATGTTACTGCAGTTGGATACGCTCATACCATGAAGATCTGTTTAAAGGTGTAGCAATCCCCAAATGCGTGAGCCAGCTGATTTTAGGAACATAAAGCGACTAAATGTTTCTACATGAAGCAAAAAGGAGAAACTCGCCTAATCATTTATATCTTACCAAAACCTCGACGTATAAACGTGTTGTCAGGTAAATGTGTTAATGCTGTGCTAACGCTACAGTTAGCTTCAGCTAGCTGGAGCGAATTTATAAAAATATTTAACAGCTTCTTCAAAAGATTTAAAAAAAATTACTCAACGCAAACAACAAACACTTACCCGAGGAAGTTTTCTGGCTGTGCTGTGTTGGCATTTATTTTCTTTACACACTCTTCCAGAACACCGAGCACATCTCCACTAGCCATGATTGTCCCCACATGTGTGGCTGTCTGTGTCGCACGTAAACAGGCTCACCGAGAAACCGCTCTGTACCTGCCACTTGGTTCCGGGGAACGAACATGGCGTCCGCCGTGCTGAAGGTTGCAGGTCTGTGTCAACAATTATTCAGCTTCGAAATTTTCGCTATTAAGTTCACTGTTCTGCAAACGATAAACGACGATACTAAGCTTCGTTATAGTGAGCTGTAATTTTTTTCGGAAGCTCAAACGAGCCCGCAAAGTTGACGAACATAAACAATGTTTACGTAACATCATGAACCAGAAGCACTCAAAAAGCGCAAACCTCCGCCAAGGCAGCTCACTCTGTATACAGTATTTACTTTTAAGGGAGTAGTATTGTATTTTCTCTATATTCAGTTATTTTCTTTGTTCTTTTCAAATATACTTTAGGAAGTTTGTAGTGCAGCAAAAAGGCTTTTGTTATTTGCCGCCTTGAAACCCATTTGAATATAGTTGGCATAATTTTGAGTATCATTTTTTATGTGGATATAGTACATGTGTAGCATTTATTTCAGTGGTTCCTAAAATGTTTAGCAATACATGTCAGGTGAAAAAAGTCTTTGATCAAACTAGTTTTTACTTTTGTTTTCCAATAAAATAGCTCCACATAGCGTTGTTATCACCTCTCAATCAATTCAGTCTATCAGGCTATCAATTGATCAATCAATTGACCTTGAAGGTGACACATTTGAAATCTTTACAATCTGCTTTCTCCATGTTTACAATACACAGGACAATCATAAGAATTATAGTTTCTAAGTTACAAAGCTTTTTGTGAATTTGTGACCAATAAATCATTACGCTGACCTTGGTGGATGTAAGCCAAGTTAACATGACCCCACGCTACACCCCTACAAAGTTTTATCATTCACTTCAAGCTGTTGCGTTTACAGACAGAGATGCTTAGCCAAGGTACCTATTAACTTCCTAACTACTAACTTAAGCCAAAGCCATACCATGAAGTAACTTCACACTGGAGCATTTTATTCCAAGATTTTTGTATGGCAAGGAGATGTGTGTAAAATTATATGGGTACTGTTATTTACTCTCTGAAACACAGGGTTGACCTAATAACCTAATTATATGTATATGTTCAGTACATAAACAGCAGGTTTCCCAGACAGGGATTAAGCCTTGTCTGAGACTAGGAGAAGAATTCAAAGATGACCTCCAATGAAGGCAAAAACAAGATTATGGCCTGGGAAACAAAAGATTGCTCTTATAGTAATAAAACAAAGATTATTGATATGTTCTCCTGATACTTCAGCTTTAAAATAAAAAACTAAGTATCATCAGTAAAAAACTATGTCTTCATAAGGAGATGGTAGGTTTATTTTACAACATAACTCAATAAAGTCATTTGAAAGTATGAAACACTTTATTGAGTTGAATGAATGGTAAGGTGCAGAAAAGCCAAAATGAGGGTATTATTTTATGCTCAGTATGAGCACTTTACTTTAAAAAGTCGTCTTTAAGGAATTGCCCTGTCGATTGGTCGTAGGAGGAAGGGAAGCCTAATCACTTTAATTTGAAAAGTCTTTCTTTCACAAATTAGTGTTATTCATGTTTACATTAAGTCAGCAAGCATCAAACAGAACACCAAACGGTAAAGATTGGTCTATTTATTATTTATATGATCTAAAACCAACAGTCAGTCACACAAAGGAGAACAGATTTGGGAGTGCAGGAAGCATAGGATTTAAATATCATTAATGTAACTCGGGACTTGGTCCAGAATATACAGCATACATCAAAGCTACTCGAGTAGAAACAACAAACACAGCTGATCTCTTTGTATTTTAATTTCATATTTAGCGGCGGGTGTTTCCAGATGCTCTCGCGTCGCGCTCTGGAGGGCACATTCAACAACGGTGCCCCTCCATCAGGGTGTTCCCGCGTCTCTGTGGAAGCTGGGCAGGCTTAACCACATCGCCATCGCTGTCCCCGACATGGAGAAGGCCACGGCGCTGTATCGGGACGTGCTGGGGGCCACGGTGAGTGAGAAGGTGCCCCTGCCCGATCATGGTGTCTACACTGTGTTCGTGGAGCTCGGCAACACCAAGCTGGAGCTGCTCCATCCTCTCGGAGAGAAGAGCCCCATCTCGGGCTTCTTGTTGAAAAACAAGTCAGGAGGAATGCATCACATTTGTATCGAGGTGAGACGGCGATGACAGGGGAGAGCTTTTATTACATTTTTGCATGGCTCTGCTTCATTTATCTGTTCACGTGACCCCAAATTCACGAGACTGAATTCAGAATTTGTTCATTTTCGTACTTCCTCTTGTCTACGTCTACTGTGACGTGTATATAATGAATGAGTGTACTGGTTTAAAGCATTAGTTGCACTAGTGTTTTATGAGACAATCCTTGCCTTCTGGTTCATATTCATTTTCCTTTTGCTCTGAGGATGTGCTGCAGCAAAATCTTTCTCTCGTGTTTTATGAGGATTGTGAGTCAGAATGGCCCAAAGAAAACATGCTTTCCTTCAGACTGTGACATGGTATTTATAAGAAACTGTTGTGTTGCATTTGTTGTGTTGTGAACCGGTGTAGTAGTATGGCTATTTGGTACATATAAATACATATGATATGACCTGGGATGACCACACGATTATCTTTGCTTGTGTTTTTATTTTAAGATCTACTCTGAATTTACAAATACCCATCATAAGGTAATAATTTAAAAGACGGAAACTAACAAATTAATCTAAAAATGAACATCTTCAAACACTAAAAACTGAAAAATAATTGTCATCACTGACCATGAGAATGGCCTAATGTAATATTATGAATTTACTAAATTACATAAAGTAAAATAACTTTTTTTTAAAAAAAAAGCAGTTCAGCTTTTGCAGAAATCATAATTACTACGTGTATCGAAGCTTAAAAAGTATTTAGGAATAATTATCTAGGGCCTGTGTGAGTGTAGTAGAGTTTGTTGTTAGTGTTATGTGTTCATGTCAGACAACAAATGTCAGTGTTGTTGTTGGTCCTATAAATCCAGTAACAGCTTGTCCCAAATTATGTGACTCAGCACGGGGGGCCTGTGCGTTAGTTTGCAGTGTTATGAGAGTTGACACTCAGTTGTGATCATTTTTAACCCTAATGATAACAAGTGAATTGAACAATAATGTTTTGTTCCCCCTATGACTGCAGGTAGACGACATTAGCGCTGTGATAGCCGACCTAAAAACCAAGAACATCAGAATGCTTTCGGCGGAGCCACGGATAGGTGCTCACGGCAAACCGGTCATGTTTCTCCATCCTAAAGACTGTGACGGTGTGCTGGTGGAGCTTGAAGAAGCGTGAAACATCACATCCTGCTGTTGACTGAGAGTTTTCCAGGCAGTTTGATGATCAGAGTGATAGCGGGGATTGTTCCTTATAGCACTTCTGCTTTTGGAAAAACAGTTCTTCTTTGTATGGAATAAAGTTTTATGTGGTACATTAACATGTGATGTATTAGTATGCGGTGTGTTGTTCTAACAGCTTCCCCTAAAGTGTTTGTGATAGAAATTTGATATTTCCCATATCTGCTAATTTGTGACATACAGTAAATGGTGGCTTTCTTAGATACAGCACTGGGTTGGACTTCCTCTTGGGTTCAGAGCATGAATTCAACAAGGTGCTGGAATCATTCGTCACAGATTTTGGTCCATATTGACATGATAGCATTTTTTGTCAGCTCATCCACAACGTCAATCTCTCATTCCACCACATCCAAAAGGTGCTCTGTTGGACTGAGATCTGGATGGTGACTCTGGAGGCCATTTGAGTACAGTCAGCTCACTGTCATGTTCAAGAAAACAATTTGCGATAATTTGAGCTTCGCGACATGTAAGATATCCTGCTGTAAGCAGCCATCAGACGATGGCACACTGGTGTTTAAAAGATGCTCAATTGGTAAAAAGAGTCCCAATAAAATCTCTCCATCACTGTTACAAAACCAGCAGTCTGAACAACTAATACTGACCCTACCATCTAAATACTGAAGCAGAAATTGAAAGGCAATGTTTTTCCAGTTTTGGTGAGCCTGTGAATTGCAGCCTTAGCACTCTGGTCATTCTTCTTTGAACTCTTGCATTAGGACTTTTTTCACCCACAGAAAATTCTTAAAGCATTCATAGTTAAAGGATTTGTTGTAATGTAAATATCCAGACTTTACTTAACTTCACTAGTAGACAGAAGTGCATTTACAAAGTATGTAAGAGGAAAACGCTAAGATAAAATTAGCACCTAAATAAATAGAGAACACAGACTATCAATATCAACGTCTATGAAGACAATTATGCTTTTAAAGAAAAGAGAGCTTGAGAGAAAATTGAGTAGATCAACTCCTGAAAATCTCAGACCACCACATCTAACACCAACAACCATATTATGTTTAAAGTCACTGACGCTCAGTTTGAACCTCAGGTCATTTTGACGATGTCTACATAAGTTGCTGCCACGTGATTGGCTGGTAAGATTTACAGTAGGAAGCAGCTGAACAGGTTTTCCTGATAAATTGCACAATGGGTGCATATAAAGTAGGATAGCTTCAGGTGGGAGTAAGTTTGATTTTCTCACTAACATGAATTCACTTTTGCATTTTGACTGACATGGTTTAAATTGGACTACTCTGATGCATTGATTACTGTTTAATCCCTTTAAATTTTGAACTAGTTCTGAATAAAATATGTTGATAATATATTTTTAAATGCAAATCAAGCCAGGCAGCACGGTGGCACGGTGGTTAGCACTGTTGCCGCACAGCAAGAAGGTCCTGAGTTCAATTCCACCATCAGGCTGGGGTCTTTCTGTGTGGAGTTTGCATGTTCTCCCCGTGTTTGCGTGGGTTCTCTCCGGGTACTCCGGCTTCCTCCCGCCGTCCAAAGACATGCAGCTTGTGGGGATAGGTTAATTGATTAATCCAAATTGTCACTAGGTGTGAATGTGTGAGTGTGAATGGTTGTCTGTCTCTGTGTTGGCCCTGCGACAGACTGGCGACCTGTCCAGGGTGTACCCTGCCTCTCGCCCTATGACAGCTGGGATAGGCTCCAGCGCCCCCCGCGACCCTG